CACCCACATGGTGGCTCACAAGCACCTGTTGGGAACTGAACCTGGGTCCTCTGCAGTAGAAGCAAGAGCTCTTAATCGTGACCCCAGGAATATACTTTTAATGAGAAAAAAAATGGTTCATTTCAAAATCCCTTTTTGACCAGGTGGTGGTGGCATATGCCTTTAATCTCAACACTGGGAAGGCAGAGGCAGGCGGATCTCGGGGGGTGGGGGGGGGGATCCCTCTTTGGTGCAAGCAACTAGTCTCTCCAGCTTTCTTGTAGTGTGACTTTAAAAAAGAAAACCAGTAGTGGGCGGGGAGGCCAAAGCCCATTCTTTGGATACTGTGTAGCTGAGTTGACTTGCTCAACCAGGAGGGAGGCTGTCAGCACCCATCTCTACTGAGGCCCAAAGCTGCATGGAGCTAGCTGTTTATGGAGCACAAGATGCTGCCGAAATGCCATTGAACGCCACTTTAAGTAAATATGACTATTGTCATTACTATTGTTATCATGGTTTTAGAACTGGGAAGCATGCACAAGGCCTTAGGTTTGATACTCAGGATCACACATGCACACACACACACACACACACACACACACACACACACACACACAGATACTTCTTATTAACATGATGACATTTTTGAAAAGTGTCCACTGCTGTTGTCTCTTGATCTTTCTTACCTGTGGTGCCTGAGCTGGCTTTTTAGAGGAACAGCCTCAAAGGAGGAGTAAGCAGAATGGCCCTGAATCATTTTCCATGTGGTTCTGCCTACCACAGCCCCGCCCATCTTTTCTGGACCCAACCCAAGAGGCAGATGTTGGATACCTGGTGGTGGTGATGCTGTTGGGGGAGGAGCCCACAGGGGTGAGCTCAGATTTGAATGCCAGGGGCCAGTGCTCTGTCACACAACGGCACTGAAGCAGCCTTGCTTGAAGCAAGCTTCCTTTGGCTGAAGACTTTGAGGGAGTCAAGAAAGTCACGCTGGAGACCGATATGGACAGGTAACAAGGCAGTCTCGTGTGTGTGTGTGTGTGTGTGTGTGTGTGTGTGTGTGTGTGTGTGTGTGCTCTTGTTCTGCTGTCTGTCTGTCTGGCAGGCTTTGCCTGTCAGTATGAGCTTTTTCTATCCTGGCTCTATCTCATCAAACCCTGCTCAGGTCTTTCTCGTTCTGGACCTACCTCTCCTCACTTCCCTCCGGCTCTCTCTTCTCCATGTTGTAAAGGGGATAGGAAGTCCTGGCTCACCCTGAGATTTGGACAGCGCTGGAGCTGGCTCACGGCAATAACAGCGAACCCTTAGGGACTCACAGAATGAAGAGGTTGTAGCAATGCCTTACTAAAAACAGGAGTGGTTATTTTCATAATTATTGGCCAACAGTCAACATTTTAAGACTCACACGGGGAGTCTTTACTGGAATTACTTAGCTATAGTAAGGAAATCCATGCCTCTTAAAAATACCAAACATTTGAGATGATTGCTTGAAACTCATTACGATGATGTCTATTGTAAGGAGTGAATTTCATTAAAACAGGCAATTTAGTGTTATAGGCTCAACTGTTAGGCACTTAGTGGCATTTTTACTGCTTAATTAATCTGTGCAGAGATGTCTTAACTTCTTGGAAGCTTTTCGGGGCTCTTACATGCAGTTCCTGAGGAGCTGTTATCAGCTCCTGTTACTGCCAGGGTGAGAGACCCATGCTCCACCCATACACTCGAGCTCAGTTCCATTTTGATCATAATATTTAGAATAGAGAGCTAATTAATATATTTAGTGATAGTGTGGATGCTCTACAGATTCCAGTTTTTTCCCCTTTCTTTTCTTCTTTTTTACTTCTTTTCTCCCCTCCCTCCTCTTCCTCTTCCCACTCCCCCTTGTCTTTATTAGGACCACATTGAGGGTCTTGCTTGCACATGCTAGACGAGCGCTCTGTCACTGGACTGCACTCCCAGCCCTCAAAGAAACGTTTCCAGGGGGCAGACAGTACTGCTTCATGAGTTTATAGGAAGGTTTTGAAAACAAATCTGAAGTCTAGGCCCTGATGGGGAAGGGGCTGAGAGAAATAAATGTACATGCGCAGCAAAATGCAAAGACAAGGCAAGACCGAAAGTCAGGGAAAACAAATGAGAACATGGAGAGACGGCACCGAACGGCGCCCAGGGCAGCGCGCGTCTCTCCCATTGAGCGTATCTGCAGAGCCATTAGCAATGGCAGCCCGTGACTCTGCTGGGATTATTTTTAACCCTTTGTCTTTGGTCTGCATTGGCTGGGGAAGCAGCTAGTTCCGCCTCAAGGAGCACAGCTGTCTCAGCAGCTGTCAATCTACAGGCAAAGGCCTCCCTCCCTGGCAGGGACACCCTGAGAAGAGGGAGCTGGAAACAGGCTGTAGCTGGGGTTGAGGGAAGTGGTGGACCAACGCTCGCCATCAGCAGATCAGGACTGTGCAGTTCCACTCACCGTGGCTGGAATCCGAAAACAGAACTGGCCTAGTATATCTCCCTGTGGTTCGGACATAATTTTTTCACTTGGGTGACATCCTTCTTTTCTAAACTCCCAGGATACCTCTCCTTTTTCATTATAGCAGCCCCCAACACACACACACACACACACACACACACACACACACACACACACACACACATACACACACACGTACATACACAGGCTACCCACAGTATGTGGAAAAAATTCAGGAATTCAGGACTGTGAGTATGGCTCTGTAGTACGGCACTCACTGGCATGTACAAGGTTCCAGGTTCAATCCACTGAAAAGGTTTTCCCATCTAGATAGCACAGAAAGTTTAGTGAAATATAAAGGGGACTTATTGCTAAGAGATGGTGCTCACGATGTTGAAAACTGGCTGGATACAAGAGATAGGTCATTTCTCCCTGTCATATGCTTCTTGTCATATGCTGAGCTTAGCCTCGCTCGTGTTTATTGGTGTTATTGTTGTTGTGAGACGGGGTCTCGCTACAAAGCCTGGCTGGCTTAGAATTCTCCATGTAAACCAGGCTAGCCTCCAATATACAAAAATCCACTTGCCTCTGCCTCCCCAAATTCTGGGATTAAAGGTGTGGGACCACCATGCCCGGCTGCTAAGGGGTTTTATAGCTGGTGATAAACAGTAGACATGGAGCTATCATAGTAAATTATTATTTCAGAATAAAGCTACTACTGTTAGAGGCTAAGACAGGAGGATCGGGAATTGGAGGCCAGCTGCAGCTACATAGAGATTTCCTGGTCAGCATGGGTCACACAGCAAGACCATATCTCAAAAGAAAATTTTTTCCCAAAAGTCAGGGACTTGTATTGCATTATTGAAATGTGAGCTGTCAACTACATGCAATCAATGATGGTACGTGAATACTCATAGCAGTTCTTTCCACCACAGCACCAAAGCGGTCCATACCCAATGTCAATCAGCACATGAATGAAGAAAGAAACCATGCTATACCACACAATAGAATATTACTCAACAGGAAAAAGGAAGCAACTACTAATACTTGGATGAATATCAAATTCACTATGTTCAGTGAGCGAAGTCACAGAGGAAGGAGGGGATGGGATTTATACGAAATTACAGAAAAGTAGAATAATTTACATTTACAGAAAGCAGGTCAGCGGTGCCTGGGTAGGAGGAGAAATACCAGCAAATAGAAATGAAGAAACTTAAGAAGCCTAGAAGTGCCGTCCATGCTCATCACGTTGGCAGTCTGGGGTGCGGACGTGTGAGCCTTCATTGAGCTGTAGATTTTAAGTGAGAGGAGCTTAGTATGTAAATTACATCTCAACGACAACCAAAAAAAGTGAAAAAAGGTTTCAATTCTCTGGCATCAAAACCGTATTCAAATTCCTAACGAGCTCTTTTTTTTTTTTTTTTTTTTTAACAAATTCTCTGCTCTCTGCACTTCCACCCGGCACCACTGTGTGGCAGTGCTGTCCCTACAAGTGAGGGACCCTGGTTTTTACCATTCAATGTTATCTCCTGGCTCATGTTACCTTGCCCACAGCGTTAACAGGGACTTTAAATTCTTTAAAGAAACTTGTGGGCTGGGAAGATGGCTCTGTGGGAGCAGTACTCGCCATGAAAGCATGATATGGGGTTTAGCAAAGTCGTCGCAAAGCAGACGACTGTAATCCCAGTGCTTCTAAGGCAAGATGGGAGGCAGAGAGAGGAGAAGCTTGTGAGCCAGTTAGCCTGGGGTGTACAGCAGTGAACAAGTGACCCTGCCTCAGATAAGATGGAAGTCAAGGACCAACACCCAAGGTTGTACTCTGATGTCCACACACGTGCTATGGCATATGTGTATGTATATGTATTTATGTGTGTGTGTGTGTGCATGTATGTGTATATATGTATGTATGTGTATATATATAGAGATTTTTTTAAAATTATTTTTGTCTCTCTCCTTCTGTGTGTGTGTGTGTGTATGTATGTGTATATATATATATGTATGTATGTATGTATATATATATATATAGAGAGAGATTTTTTAAATTATTTTTGTCTCTCTCCTGTGTGTGTGTGTGTGTGTGTGTGTGTGTGTGTGTGTGTGTTAGTGCAGGTGCCCTCAGAAGCCAGAGGTGTTGGGTCCCTTGGAACTGGAGTGACAGGTGTTTGTGAGCCGCCTGATGTGGGTGCTGGGTCTAGAACTCAGGTCTTCTGGAAGAGCCAGTACATGCTCTTCACTGCTGAGCCCCCTCTCTAGTCCCCACAAAGATTTTATTTTTAAAGAAAGAGAGAAACCTCCAGGGCCGGAGACGTAGCTCGGTTAATAGAGAACTTGCTAGCATGCACAGAGCTCTGAGTTAAGTCCCCAGCACAGCATCAACACAAGTGGGTGGAACACACCTGCCATCCCAGCCCTGGGGAGTGGAGGCAGGGGAGTCATCCCCATCAAGCTCCCTACCAGCCGAAGCTGTGTGAGATCTTGTCTCCAAACAAACAACAAAAATAAATCAATAAGGTAAAACCAGCAAAGCTGACCAAAGGAAATCCAGAAATGAAGACCCAAAGACCAAGGGAGGGTTGTGGAGACAGCTTCCAGGTGAAGGTGCTTGCTGCCAACCCGGGCAACTTCAGTGTGATCTCTGGACCTCACATGATGGAAGCAGAGAGCCAACCTCTCCAAGTTGCCCTCTGACCTCCACATGCATGCATGTGTCCATATGCACATAAGATGCACATAACAATAGTAACTAGATGTCACTTTTTAAAGACGCAAGGGGAGCTTTATTGTGCTTCTGTTCAATGAAGGATGGCTACTGTGTAGAAATACGCTTGTAAGTTGGCATGACCTCATGTGACCCTGTGCTTAGAGAGGGAGGGAGGCCATCAGGCAAGGCCTGTCTACAGCGTTCCTTTCCCGGATGGAGGACAGGACTCCCATAGAATGAGGGTCTTCAAGGAAGAGAATGACTTCTTTCCTCGGGCTGACTTTGAACTCCTGCTCTTCCTTCCTCTCCGCTCGAATTCTGGAACTGGACTTGTCTGCCCGTATGCCTGGCTGAGAGCGACCTCTCTAGGTTTCCTTTTGTTTTGTGGTGCTGGGGATTGGATCCAGGGACTCATACACGGTAGGCAACTGCTGTACTGCTGTGCTGTATTCTTGCTATAGAGCCCAGGCTGGGCTCACACGTCGAGCAATCCTCCCATGTGCTGAGGTTACAGGCAGGAGCGACCTTACCTGGCCCTCGCCAGGCTTTATAACTTGCTTTGGGAAGGTTCTGGTTCTGTGATGCTCTTGGGGTAGCTGGGAGACAGGGGGGCAGAAGTTTTCAGAATGTCAAAGCCCCATACTTTTTCTGAGACTCAATAGAACGTGCATTTTTTATTTTGTTGTTAGTTTTTGAGACAGTGCTTCTCTTTGTAGCCATGGCTGCCTTGGAACTCCCTGAGTAGTCCAGGCTGGCCTGGAACTGAGAGATCCACCTGCCCCTGCCTTCCCAGTGGGTGCACCACTACCGCCCCCCCAGCAGAAATTACAAATTTACACGATTAATTAAATATGGAAGCGGAGGAAAGACTAATCATGGGCAACCGACTATCTAGTTTGACTACTGTGGGGAGGGGAGGGGGCAGGCCGTGGGTGTGTGAGGACTGCTTCTTGACCATGCGGAGTTTGAGATCCACGTGGAATACGGAGGTGGAGACAGGAGGAAAAGCTGAAAATACAATGATAAGACCGAAGACCAGACCATTTTACGTCATCCTCAGCTAAAGACAGTTGCAGAAGGCAGCTGTCGTGGGGACCCAAATAGGGTGAGGGCTCTCCCAATAGGTCTCAATTTTTGAAGCTGGGAAGATGGATGAATTTTAAGCTGAGCATGTCTCAGGTATCTGGAAAGGAAGCAAGACTATCTTTTCTGGTTTAACTCAAATAATCCTAATTTAAAAAAAAAATAATAATAATGACAGTAGTATGTATGGGGGTGCAGCTCAGTGGTGAGCTACCTAGCTAGCATGCACACAGCTCTAGTTCAATCTTCAGCAACAACAACAATAATAATAATAATAAAGCTGAAGGAAGAACATGGTGACAGAGAAGCTGTACCCTGAATTTCTTCTCTCGTTCACACAGCCTTCTGATGAAGCGAAAGAAGTTTCTTTACCACTTCAAAAATGTCCGCTGGGCTAAGGGTCGGCACGAGACCTACCTGTGCTACGTGGTGAAGAGGAGGGACAGCGCCACTTCCTTCTCGCTGGATTTTGGCTACCTTCGCAACAAGGTACCAGGGGTGGTGGTGGCCAAGTGTGGCACGACACCAAGCTGTGGATGTCCCTGGTGCTGATCAACATTTGGGGGGGGGGAGGGAAGAGAAAGCAAGCACCTATACGCCTATCCTCCCAAGCTGACCCACCATGGCAATCCTCCTGCCTCTGCACGCTGTAATTACAGGCGTATGCCACCACACTGAACTTATTCAGGTTATTTGGTTAACGTCTCCAGCCGCCTCCTCTGGCCCTTTTCACATTCTATTCACCCACATTAGACATGGTCTGAAGGGTGTTAGTGCCCTCCCCAGTCACGCGGGGCACCCTAATGCCACGCCTTCCTTGAATGACAAGAATTGTCTCCACGCTCTTCTGTCTTTCCCCAGCCTCTGAGTTACTTTAAGTCTAGAGGAAGGAAGGAGGGCTGGCGAGGCTGCTTGGTGGTTAAGAGCACTTGCCGCTCCTCTGGAGGGCCTGGACTTGATTCCCAGCACCCACATGGCAGCTCACAACCAACTATAACTCCTGTTCCAGGGGACCCAATGCTCTCCCCTAGCCTCTGAGGGTGCCAGGCACATGCAGGTAAAACACCCATACACGTTAAATAAAAATAACCTTTAAAAAACATTAAGGTTAAAAGGACAGACATGGTGGTTCATGCCTGTAGTTCCAGCCCTTGGGAGGCTGAGGCGGGATTCAAGCCAGCCTGGGCTACATAGTGAGACCCTGTGTCGAAAAATAGCAAAATCCAAAGTATATAAATAAAAACAAAAAGTAAGCGCATTTTGAACTAGGGAATGTTTTACTTTATTTTTTAGCCCACTGGTGGTGGCTCATGCCTTTAATACCAGCACTTGGGAGGCAGAGGCAGGCAATCTCTGAGTTCAAGGCCAGTCTGGTCTACAGAGTGAGTTCCACACAAAGAAACCCTGTCTTGGAAAAAAAATAAACAAACAAATTTTTAATTTTTTTGTTTGTATTTTGTTTTTTGAGACAGGGTTTCTCTGTGTATGTAGCTTTGTGCCTTTTCCTGGAACTCACTTGGTAGTCCAGGCTGGCCTCGAACTCACAGAGATCCAGTTCCGTCTGGCTCTGCCTCCCGAGTGCTGGGATTAAAGGCGTGCGCCACCGCTGCCAGGCTCAAAATTTTAATTTTCACAGTGCTAGGGATGAAATGAAGGACCTGCCCTTGCCAGACAAACGCCCCACTCCTGAGCTCCACACATAACAACCTCCAGCCCCTTAACACTTGAATTCCTCAGTGCTGGGTTCTTTCTCAAGTACTTTCTTGAGTGAGAAAAATACACCATGTCTTTAGAACTATTTTGAAAATCAAGGAGAAAAAAAAAATAGGAGAAATGACATCAACTCAACTCTTGTTTTTCCAAATAATCTCGTTTCCTCCGATTCACAAAGACCAGAGGCCAAGGAAAACATCTATCCTGGTGAGCCTCATTCATGAGTCACAGAGAAGCCTCGGCCTGTTGGGTAATTGGGTCAATCCTTCAGTTGCCTGAGAGAACTGGATTTCCTCGAGAGTTCGCTGGATTGCAGATTGGCTTCCACATGCCCGTGGGCATCTCCGGGACTCCCGGGGAAGAGCCCCGTGAGGTTGGCGATTTATTATGCAGCTTCTTCTGCCTACCTTTTCATGGGGTAGCTTACCTCAACACCACCATTTTACACACAATCTCTTCCCTACTTGGAGCCATGACACACCTTACTTATAGACGGCTTTATCAAGGGGCCCTTTCTCTTATTTCACATACAGTGCTTACGACACCAGCTCAATTTACTGCTAAGGAAATAGAACAACAGAGTTGAGTAAAATACAGAGCTTTCTTCATAGTCTTAGACCAACGATTTTCAGCAATAGGAAGTGGACCGCTTACGGTTGTAATGATCACAGTCACGGTGACCACATAACACGCACACATTATGTAATTGCTCCCCACTTGTACGCCAAGGTAAGACTCTAACCTCTCAAAATAACTTTACCTCCAGGCATTGTCCTAACCCTCCTTACAAATTGTCCTGGCGCCACCTAGTGGTCAAGATGCAGTTTTACACACAAATGCTGTCCCCGCAAGGTGTGTGAGGATTCTTCTCCCACTCGCAACTGATTTCATCGTCCTTGGCCCCATACATCCTCAGCCTTCCTTTACCCAGCAGGGCCAGTGTAATAAACAGATTTGGCTCCAGTGAGAGCTCTCTTAACAGTTTGCTGCAGGCCTTTGACCCCAGCACAACACTCTGGAGGCAGAGGCAGGAGGATCTCTGAGTTCAAAACCAGCCTGGTCTACAAATCAAGTTCCAGGCCAGCCAGTTGCGACATTCCCCCGCAAGCATCCCCAATGGCCTGGGGTGGGAGGGCGTGCCTGTCACGTCACCGGCGCTCTCTGTCTCTCTCCAGTTGGGCTGCCACGTGGAATTGTTGTTCCTACGCTACATCTCGGACTGGGACCTGGACCCCGGCCGGTGTTACCGCGTCACCTGGTTCACCTCCTGGAGCCCCTGCTACGACTGCGCCCGGCACGTGGCTGAGTTTCTGAGATGGAACCCCAACCTCAGCCTGAGGATTTTCACCGCGCGCCTCTACTTCTGCGAAGACCGCAAGGCTGAACCTGAGGGGCTGCGGAGACTGCACCGCGCCGGGGTCCAGATCGGGATCATGACCTTCAAAGGTGAGCGTTGTGCACCGGAGAAGGCGGTCTGAACTGAAGCTCGGAGTGAGGCTTGTCGGCGGGGTGGGGCTGGGGGGGTCGGGGGGCTCTGTAAAGACTCTCAATTCCTCTTCGATGTCAAAAGCACTACTTTGTTTTTTGAGACAGGGCCTCACTATGCCAGGTTGGTCTTCCGCTTGCGACTCTCTGGCCTCTGCCTTCTTAGAGCTAGAATTACGAGGAGGCACCAGTCTCAGAAGGATCAGAACTTGAGGAACAGAAGTTGGCAGAGCTGTGGGTGCGCTCGGTGACAGAACTCTGGTCCAGCATGTACAGATCCCTGCGTCCCGCCCTTTTCAGACAAATAATAATGACATTAATGATAATAATAGTAACAGTCGTAATAAAGAGGGCCAGATAGATAGATAGCTCAGAGGGGTACTTGCCTTGATGACTTAAGTTCGATCCCTGAAACACCACTGTCCTCTGACCTTCTGACTTCAGCCACGCACTGTGGTTATGTGCATGCGTGCTTGCAAACACACCTCCTTCTTACTTACTTTTTTTTTTCTTCTTCTAAGACTATTTTTACTGCTGGAATACATTTGTAGAAAATCATGAAAGATCTTTCAAAGCCTGGGAGGGACTGCATGAAAATTCTGTCCGTCTAACCAGACAGCTCCGGCGCATCCTTTTGGTAAGAGTATTCTCCTCTGCTCTCACCTCCCACTCCCACCCCACACCCCGCCCCATGACTGGAGCTGTTGCTGGAGGGCTTCTCTCCAGGTTCCACCAAGCCCCGCAGTCCCACAATCCACATATAAAATAATCACTCAGATACTTATATTACTTATAAACTGTATGGACGTGGCAGGCTTCTTGCTAACTGTTCTTATATCTTAAATTAACCCATTTTTATAAATCTATACCTTGCCACGTGGCTGGTGGCTTACCGGCGTCTTTACATGCTGCTTGTCCTGTCGGTGGCTGCAGTGTGTCTCCCTCCTTCTTCCTGTTTCCCCAATTCTCCTCTCTCCTTGTCCCGCCTATACTTCCTGTCTGGTCACTGGTCATCAGTGTTTTATTTATATAGAGCGATATCCACAGCAGGAGCCTCTTAGATATTCATTTGTATCACCCATTTTTCATATGGTGACTTCTTGAGGGCTCCTAAATTCAGTTTTCTTTTCTGTCTTTCCCCAGGGCAGAGCCCTCACTCAGACTCTGTCCTCTTGCCTTCTCTTCACTGACTTCTTCACAAGTCTTCCTTTTGTTAACCTCCCCTCAGACGGGGTTCCTTCCAGGCCAGAATTTCCCCTTCTTTTTCCTGGTCCTGGTCCCAATTTACTTTCCTCTTAAGCCACCCACTTGGTTTAGATGCCTTCCCTTCCCCCAGCTCAATTTTGAAGCCATTCACTCATTTTGTATCTCTTCCTCCACAGCCCTTGTATGAAGTGGATGACTTACGAGATGCATTTCGTATTTTGGGACTTTGATAGCAACCTCCAGGAACGTCACATGTGATGAAATTTCTCGACTGAAGACAGTGGATAGCAAAACGATCCTTCAAGTACCTGTTTTTCTTCTTAAATACTCACTTTCATAGTGTAGGGGGGAAATTATATGACTTTTAAAAAATACTTGCGACGCAAAATAGCGTGGGCCCTCCAGAGTGCTGATGGCAGCTTTGAGTTCAGCATCGCCATCTACTGGGGAACAGCAGAACTTCAGGACTTCAGACCACAGTGGAAGCGACGTTCTCTCTGAGTTTTAAGCAGGATGGAAACAGAAGGTATATATATGCTTAGAAAAGCATATGGAGACTATCACACGGTTTGTTACACCCACCCTCTGTGTTTTTATTCATTTGAATTGTCAGGGGTGTCAGTGATGGATTTTTCTGCTCTATTCCTTTGAGGCTGACTTTCAAGGAAGCCCTTCCCCTGAGGTCATGGATTGATGGTAGGCTGTCCTGGTGAGGGAATCTGAGCCACCATAAGCCTCTCTCTCAAAAGCATTAATATGCAGGCGTGTGCTGTACGTTTTCACTGTCGTGTTTTTTATGTATATATGTATATTTGTGTGGGAGAGGGCTTGGTGGGATTTGGACTTTGCGTGATCTCCTCTGAGTGATTGTCATAAGGGATCTTAAAATGCAGATAAGGACTAAGAAGAAGTCACTCTGAAAATAAATTGATGCCTCAAGGATCAAATGCTCTGGGAACACAGACTCTTTTTTTTTTTTTAATGTCAATTTATTTACAATCTTATCTGTATAAGAGTTCAAGAGTTTAATACAATTTTCAGATCACATCTCTTAAACAGTCTTCCTCTGTTAAAGAGGTGAATTAAACATCCTATTTTTTAAGTAGCTGGTGCCTTACACTAAAGAAAGGGGCAGCAAATCCAGATCCAACCATCATCAAAGCCTCGTGTTTCCCACTGAAAATGGCAAAGTCTTCCCCGGGCCCTCCTCATGGTGGCTGCGACGGACCATGGAGGTAGTGAACCTCGGGATACTCGGGCCCAACGTGGGGAGCTCTGAGAGGGGCGCAGAGACGGAAGGCGGCAGGAATGGCCGCGCCACCCTAGTCTCCTTTCCTCACGACCTTGGGAACACAGACTCTAAAACTGTACAGACTTCTAGTAATTGACACCTGGAAACTGCTTGAGTATTGAGAGGTAATCCATTCTGGATGATGGATGCCAACAAGGTTAGGGTTTTCTCGGTTTTGTGTGTGTGATGCTGCTCCCCAAAATTGTGAAAGAAGGTGAAAAAATACACTCTTATCTGATGCCAGGCAAAGTGACAATCCTCTGTAATCCCAGTATTCAGGAGGCTGAGGCAGGAGGATTGTAAGTTTGAGGGCAGCTTGGGCTGCACAGTGAGACCCTATTTAAAAAAAGGGAGGGGGATAATAATTAACAAGGAAAAATGCAAGATTGTGGCAAGGAAACTATGCTTTACCCAACAAAATATAGGGAACCAACATAGATTCCCTCTTTGTCCCTATTTATGCCTAGTCTCCCTAACAACTATCTTTGATGGCTAGAAAAAATGCAGAATAAACATCCCTGTGCAGTTATTACCTAGTTACCCTTATAATGCAATTAAGAGACCCATAGGAAATCCTGTGCACACAACTGTATTTATTGCATGTAAGTCGCTGTGGAAGAAGTGAAAAATAAACATCATTACTTCCTGTATCTATTCCTGTTTTATATTATGCTGTATAGCATCCGGTGATGTTCCTGCCATCATTTCCTCTTCTGAAATGGGTTCCTGAAGTCTCATGAATTTGAAACTTTAGAAATTACTGTAGCAATGCACAAAATTGTGACCAACTGTAACAATATTGCTCAGCAGCTTTTCTTTTGGATTTTAGAAACTTTTTTTCCCCACAGAAAATTTATTCTGGCTCACTTTAAATGAACTGAATAAATGAATAAAATTTGGAAGTCTTGAAGATGAACTACTGAATAAAATAATGCCAAAAAATGATTTATAAAATTAAAGTCATGCAGATCACAGGGCGGTGATGGTGCACACCTTTAACCCCAGCACTTGAGAGATAGAGGCAGGAGAATCTTTGTGAGTTCAAGGCCAGCCTGATGTATATAGAGAGCTCTAGGACAGCCAAGACTACATAGGGAGATCTTGTCTTAGAAAAATATATAAGTAAATATAGGGCTGGAGAGATGGCTCAGAGGTTAAAAGCACTGACTGCTCTTTCAGAGGTCCTGAGTTCAATTCCCAGCAACTACATGGTGGCTCACAATTATCTGTGAGATCTGGTACCCTCTTCTGGCCTGCAATCATCCATGCTGTATACATAATAAATAAATAAATAAATCTTTTTTTTAAAGTGTTTAAAAAAGAGAAAAATAAAAAAAAACATAGCATGGTGGTGTAAAATTTAATTGAGAGTCCTGAGATTAACCCATATATCGATGACCAACTGAGTCTTGACAAAGGTGCAAGGTGTTTAGTCCTGTCAACAGATGGTGCTGGAACGGCTTGCTGTCAGGTCTAAAGAATGCATTTAAGCCAGGCAGTGGTGTTGCACGCCCTTAATCCCAGCACTCAGGAGGCAGAGCCAGGTGGATCTCTGTGAGTTCGAGGCCAGTCTGGTCTACAAAATGAGTTCCAGGAAAGGCACAAAAATACACAGAGAAACCCTGTCTCGAAACCCCCCCCCCCAAAAAAAAAAGAAATGCATTTGGCATAGCAACACCTGCCTGTACTCTACTTGGGAGGCGGAGTCAGGGAGATCCGTTTGAGGCCAGGCTGGGAATAAGAAAGACTGTCTCAAATAAAACAAAACAAATAAAAGAATAGATGTGAGGCTCTTCCATACATCATACACAGAGATGTGTTCACTATCAATCAAATACTTCCATGGAGGAACTGAAAGCTTAAAACTTCAAAGTAGCATAGATGGAAACCTTCCTGATTTTGGATTAAGCTAGTGTTTCCCACCTACCAGGATGGCCATCAGCTGAAACAGTGTGAGTGGGGCAGTGGAGCACTTGGAACTTGTGGATGAATAGGAGTGTACAATGTATAACCACTGTGGGAAACAGTTTGACAGATCCTAAAAAGTAAACAGGTAATTGCTACAGGACCCATACCTTCCAGTACTGAGTTTTGAAGAGAATTACAACCTTGAGGGGTTAGATGGATGGCTCAGTTCGTAAAGTGTTTGTCTTGCAAACACAAGGACCTGAGTTTGATTCCTAGCACCCATGCAAAAAAAAACTGGGCATGGTAGTGCATAATCCCATCACTCAGGAGGCAGAAACAGGTGGATCCCTGAGGCTCCTGGGCAGCCTATCCTACTTGGCAAGTTACAGGTGAATGAGAGAAACTTGTTTTTTGTTTTGTTTTGGTTTTTCGAGACAGAAAAACCTGGCTCTGCCTCCCAAGTGCTGGGATTAAAGGCGTGCACCACCACCACCCAGCATTGGTGCACATGTCTTTAATCTGAACACTCAGGGTACAGAGACGGGTAGATTTCTGTGAGTTTGAGGTTAGCCTGCCTACATAGCAAGACCCTGTTTCAAAGAAAGGAAAAAAAGAAAAAAGGGTGGATAGAGCCTGAGGAATGATACCTACACACACACACACACACACACACACACACACACACACACACACACCTCTGAACATGCAGGCACACACCACAAACAAAAAGAGACACGTGGTCAAACAAAAGAAACACACGGCCAAATGAATTTTGTACATGAATATTCAAAATAACAGTATGCAGGCTGGAGAGATGGTTCAGACGTTAAGAGCACTGACTGCTCTTCCAGAGGTCCTGAGTTCAATTCCCAGCAGCCACATGGTGGCTCACAGCCATCTGTAATGAGATCTGATGCTCTCTTCTGACCTGCAGTCATACATACTGTATACATAATAAATAAATAAGTCTAAAAAAACAAACAAAAAATCCAGTATGCATAATAGCCAAAAAATGATACATTTAAATACTCATCAGTTGGTGAATGCATAAGCAAAGTGTGGCACATCCATGGGAGAAATTTAATTTATTTGGCCATAAAAGGAATGAAGTACCAATGCATACTATAACATGAACATACCATGAAAGCATGATGCTGGGCCAGCCGGATGACTAAGTGGGTAAAGACCTCTTCAGCCAACACTAACAACCTGAGTTGGATCCCTGGAACTCTCGACAGAAGAGAAAACCAATTCAAAGCTGTCCACGACCTCATAAACATCATGGCTTGTGAGCCCCCCCCCCACATCCCCCCATACACGTGCAATAAGTAAACACAATTCTAAATAGGAAGAGAATTGCTAGTTAATTTAAAAACAAAACTCTGTGCTCTATGAGAGAGAAATACACAAAATCCACACAGTACCTAAAATGTCCTGAGTAAGAATCTAGGTGTGGCTATGCACACTTATAATCCCAGCACTTGATGAGGCAGGAGAATGGGAAGTTCACAGCCAGACTTGACAACACAGTGAGTTCAAGGCCAGTGTGGCATACATGAGATCCTGCCTCAAACAAAACTCCCACAGGATTGCAGTGCCCACATGCACCTTCACACAGATAATCATATAAGCCACATAGTAAAACTGAGATCAATCTGGACCTGTCTCTACCACAACAAAAAGATAAAAAATTAAAACACAGTGTTAAACCTTTGTTTCCTTTATTATTTACTTAGTGAGATGTGTGTTCTGGTATTAAAGGCCTGCACCTCCACACCCAGGCTCTGCCCTTGCTTTAACAACCCTATATAACAGGTTCTTATCATTCTGAGGTTTAACATGTGTTAGTTTGGGGTTCCCCCCCACACACAGGGTTTCTCTGTGTAGCTTTGGTGCCTGTCCTGGATCTTACTCTGTAGACCAGGCTGGCCTCGAACTCACAGAGATCTGCCTGACTCTGCCTCCAGAGTGCTGGGATTAAAGGCATGTGCCACCACCGCCTGGCCCATGTGTTAGTTTTATTTCCTTAGAGAATTCAATTTTCATGATGTGCAGTGATTTCGTATTTTGTTGGTGCGTGAACTTTAAGATTGTTGTTTCCAGGCGCGGTGGCACACACCTGTAACCCCAGCAGTCAGGAGGATTAGATAAGAGGTTCATGAGTTCCCAGCCACCCTGGGCTCTATCACAAGACTTTGGATCCCCCTCTCTCTATTCAAACACTCTTCCTGTCTCTTCTGGTCCACGAGCTGCATCCAGCCGCAATAACGATGAACAAAAGAGTGGATACTGAGGCAGCAAGACCATCCTCCGGCCTGTCGTCTGTCTCTGATGTTTAATGCTGCGGTGCAAAGGCTACCTAGGAATTGATCCCATGGTTGGATGTCCATTGTTCTGGGTCCCATCCCACATGGTTATGCACGTTGAAAATAGCATCTACCTTATTCTTGGCTCCTGAAGCTTTAAGGATGCACTGACGTATCCTTCCCTTCAAATGACTAATTCCTGCATGTCTCAGAATCTGCAAAGAGAAAGAGCGCATTGCCTATTAATTTCA